AATTAACCCCAAAATCAATCCCAGCATTGACCCTTTGTGATATGGAATCTTGTGGTACAATGTCAAAGAGATCCATATGCTAACACACAAGTTATGTCTGGAAGTTACAAAAATGCTTATTTTCGGCCCCTTTTTGGCCCCTAATTCCTTAACTGTTGGTACCATAACCCCCAAAATCAATCCCCACCTTCCTATTGTGGTATTGAACCTTATGGTAAAATTTCATAGAGATCCATTCACTTAAACTAAAGTTAGAGTGCGAAAACCATTGTGTATTCGGACGACGACGCCGGACGACGACGCCGACGACGACGACGACGCCAACGTCATACCAATATACGACCTCAAAATTTTTTTGCGGTCGTATAAAAAACGACCAAATGACGTACAACAGTCTATAAAACTTGACTATAGCATTTAAAACACATAAGAAGCACCCAGACAGTCAAACAGAAATTAAAAGAATAACTAATTTGTAAAGATTTTCAACTAGGCCTACAGCTATATTTTCTTATCGTGTAACAGTAGGCTAAACATAGGTTCTGGTATTATGTGATAAGTCATTTTTTCATGCAGACCCAGTTTTATTGATACCTTGAACTTAAAGTGGTTTTATGCATATCAGCCCAGATTATGTGTGTAATTTTATTGAACAATTCAACAATACACGTTCTTAACAGGTTAAATTCAATCTAAAAATTTACAAATTCAGATCTACTGGCATTCAACACCCAATTACTTACTTGCTGTATATTGCTAACTTTGATTGTATATTGTCAATCCCTCCACATCGTGAATACGCCATGCGAGGTGTTGGATAAGTTTGATACAGGGTGGCGGCTTTGAAGCGTAGAAAAAAATCCAGGTAAACGAAAGTGTAAAATTTTGTTGTTGAAAATTTTAAGTACTAAATTCCTAAATTTGTACTTAACTCCGTTCTACGGGTAACATGGTTGTTTGATATGAAAATAGGATAAAAAGCATCCGGAAAAATTAATTATCACGTTATAAGTATTCGTAAATGGATATGAAAAAACTTAACAAGGAATAAGTATTGGTAAACGGACAGAAAGTCGCAGGACAAAGGTTTAAATTAATTATTTTACAATTGTTTAAATATATGAGAGAAAGTTCTTGACGAATTGACTTTATTTATAGATAAATGTATTTAGTTTAGGAAATGATTAATTCGCCTTCAAATAGTTTTTTTTATCAATAACTTATAAAAAGGAGACATTTTTGACAGCATGACTTCAGTTAATTACCAAACCACTTTGGCAGATTGTTTTCTTAACAATCATTGTTCATATTAATATTCAAAAATAAATTTTGTTTACAAGTCCGTTTCCTTTTAAAAATGTTTCAGAAAAATACTGAAACGTTTTTAAAATTAAGTTTATTCAAAGAAAAAAATATCCCAAAACTGAATCGTGACTTTTTACTTGTTACTTTTTGCTGTACGTTCTAAGTGTCTATCCTAGCAAACACAAATTTGGAAATAAAATCGATTACAATGTAATTTTATAGAAGGAAAAAGGGGGGTTAATGAACAAATTATTACTATACACTCACATACTTCTAAAAAGATTTGCATATGTAAGCTGTCTATAGATAATGTTAAATTATTTCAGGATTTTCAATTAATTTAGGAAAAAAAAAAGATTATAAACAGTTTAGTTTTCAAAGCCTACTACTACAAAAAATAGTGTTTCTTTTTGTAGATTTTGTACTTCAGTTTCGACTCAAAATTTCCTATTGTAATTGTTAGATGCCAAATATTTAGGAGAAGATTGTATTTGTACTTTATGTAATTGTGGTGATATTGGCGACGCGTTCATTATATTATAGCAAGGATTTGTAAAAATCCTTGATTATAGAATGTTCGGCAATAGACGAAAGTAGACAAACCCTATGTAAACGGGGTTTTGATCTCCAAGGACGCCACATTTTACATCGAATAAGATCTATATTTGTTAACGTTTTCAAATGAAATAACTTGAATTGAAAATTTCCCGACTATGTGAAGATTTCTTATATTTCTAAATGGCTTCAATTATTACATACAAAACGAAAAATTTATTTAACTTTTTTTGTAAAAACAATATTCATGTATTTTTATAATTTTTCCAAGGAAACGGTTTTTTTTTTTGTTTGTTTGCAAAGTTTACTTGTATGTGTTTATAACCATCACCAATCAGTCCTAATTATTAAAGATCAAACGTCGTAATCAAAATGATGATTGGTATTGAATATGATCATCGGTCATGCATGACGTATCCCAAATAACTTCTTTAATGTTGGTTTGATTTTATCAAAACCAATATTATAAGATCAAATATTAAATTATCTATCGAATGTATACCCTCAACGCTCACTAAAACATATATACATGTCCTGAGTGACTTTTTATGTCCTGTCTGCACTCAGGAGGTCCTGAGCGGTTTTTAGACGTACCGTTAATTTATAGGCATATATTTGAAGCTGTTCTTAATTATGTACATTATCTATAGGTATACATGTATCAGACAAAAAGACTTTCCAATGAACTTAGTTCTAGTTATCTTAGTTCCTAGTCACAGGCACTTGTCTCAGAAAAAAAATTTCCTATATACTTTTAATGTAATATTAAGCAGGGACTTTCTATATTAAGTTAGTATAGAAAGTCCCTGTATTAAGGTATATAGGAAACAAAATTCTGAGACAAGTGCCTGTGGTCCTAGTGTGAAATAAATCCACTGGGAATTGGCCTTTTTAAACACATCTATATATACGTTTTCTCAAGGGTTTGTACATGTAAAGTGAAATAGTGTTTACTCAATGCGTAGTTACATAAGTTTATTTGCTACTTTTTTCTTCTTTATTTTATATAAATGATTTTTTTTTTAAATTTTAACATTTTTTTCTTCGAAAGAATTGTAGTGTTGCAATAGGGAATGGACACAGATACTTAACTACATTTAACGAAAAAAAATTTGTGTAATGTCATCAATCTGTATTACACATAGACAGGATGTTCTCTAGAAAACTATGATATTTCTAATACGTTATACACACCCCAGGGTACACGCACTGTCGTAATGGAAAATTACTGCATGCTTTAATTACCTGTAATCAGCCATGCAACAAATCAGTTGACTGACCATGTCATTACAGTTTAAAAAGTTTTTCCTCAGATCAAAACGGAATAATCATTTTAACTTTAAAATTTAAAACTTTAAAAAGTATACTTTGATATAATTATGACGTAATTTGGCGTAAAAGAATTTAACAATTTAATAATCGGATTTTTCCAAAGATTAAGATACAATTACATTTATTATTCTGGGACTGACAGATATATCACAGGCACTTGTCTCAGAATTTTTTTCCTTTATACTTTTATTAAAGTATATAGGATTTTTTTTTCTGAGACAAGTACCTGTGAGATATATACATGCATAAGTCCCAGACATATATAATTGTATATCAAAATGATTTATATAATTACTGGGAAATAATATAATGTTTCAGTTATGTTGATGTCACAAATACACATGAATTATTTGATGATGCATGCTTGAATTTCTTATCTAACTGCATGACGGTGACCACAGACATATATATATATCCATTTACTGATTCTATAATTTCTTGAGAAAAAAAATCAGGAGGGAAGTCAGAGGGAAGTGAAACAAACATTTTAAGCTTTTATTAAAAATTGTTGGGAAAACAATAAAATACGACACTGAGTTTTAAAAAAAAAATTTATGATTGGTCTTAATTTTTTTTTTAATAAAGATAGAAACAATTTTTTGTCCCAAGAAAAAAAACCAATGCCCCCTTTTTAGCCAAACCGACACACGCCGATGAATGAAGAATTCCAAGTAGGGTCACAAGGTCACATTTTAAAACTTTTTCAGTCGCCCAGTCTCAAAAAGCAATTTTGACTGGCATTGTTTTTAGTCGAATTATGTTTTTGCAGGTCAGGTTGCAAAGTGGCAGGTCGGATTTGACAATGTCAAGTTGACAACGGTCCTAAAAAATATCCGAAGAAACGTTGAATCAAACGATATGAACCTACGCAGTTTTATATTATAAGACTGACACACACCATGCAGTGTGCTAACTGTGCTGGGTGAGGTGCTGTAACTTGATATACATGTATCATTAAGTTACAGTACTGTTAGGATTTGCCAGCTGCCTTTTTACAGGGAGTTTCTATACTAACTGTTAGTATAGACTGCCCCTGGCTTGAAAGTATGGTTCTCTGCTCATCAACGGGTGCGTGATTAGCAAATCAAATATCTTGTAGCAGTAAAATACCTCCGGGGGGGGGGGGGGGGGGGGGGGGGGGGGGCACTTCAATACTTAATTGATAGGGGGTGTCGCTGGGGTTCTGATACCCCACCCTATTCATATAATTTAGATCTTTAAAATGTATACCTTTTCATATATTGCGTGGGTAAAATTGTAACCTTTTCCCATATTGGTTGGTTTTCGTGGGGTGTGTTGGAAAAGTGGAATATTTAAGGCTAAGATTCTGTATGTGTAATGTTTACTTACGGCGAGACTTTCGGCTGGGAAAAAATGACAGGGCTTTTCATATACAAGTAGTTGGAACTTTATCGACCTTATCATATATTTCTGATAGTTTTCCCCACCTATTCCCATATTTTCAAGCTGGAAAAAGTGACCTATTCCAGCGGCACGTCCTATCACCTTGTATATAGGAAGTGCCCCCCACCCCCCGAGTAAAATACACAAATGTATAATACCTTAATTCAGGAGCACAGTCTGTCTTTACCGTAAATAACTTCGAGATTAATATGTAAGTTTACTTTGCTAATCGATGTTCCTGTAATTCAGATTTAAATTTATTTGTGAGACCCCCGTCACTATTTATATTCACTCAAAGAAAGGGGTTCTCCGTTACTGGGAAAATCCAAGGACGTATTGTGTTAGTTATACGTCCTTGGAAAATCTTATCTGATTCAGGATCAATTTATCGGTTACATTCCCCTATCACCAGTGATTCTTTGTGAACTGACATTCTGAAAAAGGTATACTGTTGACTATCAATTTGCATGATTAGTTACAGATGTCAACTCGGACTACTGCAAAAGACAATAATTCAGTTCACTGATTTAGATTGAATAGTGGTTCGGTTAATCCCCTCTTCCCCAAACAAGTAAGAATATAGGTTACATCTTTTGGTAGTCAAAATAATTATGACGTCTAGCAAGGCTATTTTATTTTTTTTATGCCCCCGCCGTAGCGGTGGGGGCATTAAGTTTTACCCTTGTCCGTCTGTACGTACATACGTCCGTAAATCCCAAAATTGGTTTCCGTTCTCTAACTTGAGTTTGCCTTAACCAAATGTTATAGTAAAAACTTATACACAATGCTTATTACCACAAAACACAGATCAAGTTTGAATTTTGGTGGCGTCACTTTAACCGTTCTAGAGTTATGCCCCTTTATAAATGGAAAAATTGCAAAATTTTTAGTTTCAGTTCTCTAACTTAAGTTTGCCTCAACCAAATGTTATAAAACTTATACACAATGCTTATTCCCAAAAAACACAAATCAGGTGTGAATTTTGGTGGCGTCACTTTAACCGTTCTAGAGTTATCTCCTTTTATAAATGGAAAAATTACAAAATTTTTATTTTCTTCTAAATATCAAGTAATTTTTAAAATTGGAATTATCTTCCTTTGTCCATTATTATAGTTGAATCAACTACAATCAATGCTTTATACAATGCAATGTTTAATTTTGACTTCCACTGATAAAACACAGATCAAGTTGAATTTGGGTAGTGTCACTTTAACCATTATTGAGTTATGCCCCTTTATAAATTGAAAGATTGCAAATTTTTAGTTTCCATTATGTAACTTAAGTTTGCCCCAACCAAACATTATGAAACCTATACCCAATATTCATTACCACAAAACTAAGATCAAGTACAAATTTTTTGTTTCCGTTTTCTAACTTTAGTTTGCCTCAACCAAATGTTATAAAACTTATACACAATGCTGATTACTACATAATACAGATTAAGTACGAAATTTGGTGGCGACACTTTTACCATTTTTGAGTAATGTCCCTTTATAAACATAAAAATTGCTGAATTTTTCGTTTCCGTTCTCTAACTTTAGTTTGTCTCAACCAAATGTTATAAAACTTATACACAACCATTCTAGAGTTATGCGTGTTTACAAATAGTTTCTGTTCTTTACTTAAGTTAGCCTCAACCAAATGTTATGAGACTTACACACATTATGCTTATTACCACAAAACTCAGATCAAGTTCAAATTTGGGTAGCGTCACTTTTACCGTTCTTCAGTTATGTCCCTTTATAATTTTTCTATCTATCTATCTTCATATTTCCGCACTCAGTCACAACTTTGACTATTACGTGCCCAGAAAAAAGTTAAAATAGCCTTGCAAGACGTCATAATTATTTGGACTAATCTTTTGGCAAATATGGTCGTACCACAGGGGTTTGTTACAATTTGCCGGGTTTTCTATCCTTACGAACCCTGAAAAACTTACCAGGCCAGGTGATAAAAAATCTGTCTCCCCTTTTTATCCCACCAGAAAATCAAAAGGTTGTCTCCTTACACCTTCATGACAAAAACATATACAAATATGGTATCATTGCCAATGTGACGGCTCTTCAACAGAAACTAAAAACGTAGAAGTTAACAACTATATAGGTCACTGTACAGATTTCAACAATGGGTTAAAAAGCCAAACTGCGTAATAAGCTACAAAAGGCTAAAATAGATAGACAATATCTGACAAGGGTAGAAATGTTCAGAATGTTGAAAAAAAAATCTACTGTCCATTTGCATCAAAACTGGCAGCTGACTCATAGGAGTTGTTGCCTTAAATACAGATTTTAACCATTTTTTTTTCTTCATATTTCTTGAATTTGCCTTTTTATCTCGAAAACTGTAATAATTAAAGAGAAACTTAAATCTTATTAAAAAGTTATTGCTTTTCAATGATGATTTTGATCCAGTTTTTGCAAAAACTTGGAAACTTTAAATCTTGGGTAAACTCCTTATATTATACTGCCTGGTCTCGTGGTAGCGTGTTCACCTAACGTGCAGAAGCCTGAGAAGGTTGTTTATTTTGAACCCAATCGGGTAAAACCAAAGACTTTAAAGTTGGTATTTGCTGCTTCTCCCCTAAGCACGCAGTATTATTAAGGAGTAAGAGCAAATACTGGTTTGTTCAGAGTCAGAATAATGTGTCAAGGTAAGGTGACATGTCTCTCTGAGAACTAGTGTAAGAGATAAATTGTCTGGTCAGACAAATATAACTAGTATAAAAAGTCCATGGATACAGAATTTACTAGTATATTTAGTCCGATGTCAGTAATTTATGTCCCCAGACTAATTTTCCTAGTCCATGACATCACTATTCCTAGGTAAAAATGTCCAGTTTTTCTAATACTGTATGCAACATGTCAAGTATATTTGGTGTATGAAAATTTTTAAGGATGTACATGTAAGTCTGGCATGTTTTATTCGACCTTGACCTCATTTTTATGGTTCATTGCTCAATGTTATTATTTTGTTTTTTGGTCAGTTTTTCTATTTTCTTATTTTCAAATTAGCTCAACTATATTTGGTGAATGGAATGATTGTAAGGTGCATATGTCTGACTGAGAAGTTTCATCTTACCTTGACTTTATTTTCATAGTACATTGGAAAATGTTTAGTTTTTGTGGTTTTTTTCGGATACTGTAAGCAATAACATGAATAAGGCCCCTATATTTGGTGAATGGAATGATTGTGAGATGCACATGTCTGTCTGGCATGTTTTATATGACCTTGACGTCATTTTCATGGTTCATTGGTCAATGAAAAGTTTGCATTGTTTTGGCAGTTTATCATATGCTTTAAGCAACAGGTAAATTATATTTGGCGGATGTAACGATTGTAAGATGTGCATGTCTGTCTGGCAGATTCATATAACCATGATCATATTTTATGGTTCTTTGGTCAATGCTAAGTTTTCTTGGTTTTTTATACGACCGCAAAAATTTGCGGTCATATATTGGTATGACGTTGGCTTTGTCGTCGTCCGAAGACGCATTGGTTTTCGCACTCTAACTTTTGTTTAAGTGAATGGATCTCTATGAAATTTTACCATAAGGATTGATTTTGGGGGTTATGGTACCAACAGTTAAGGAATTAGGGGCCAAAAATAAGCATTTTTGTAACTTCCAGACATCACTTGTGTGTTAGTGTATGGATCTCTCTGACATTGTACCACAAGGTTCCATATCACACAGGGAATGCTGGGATTGATTTTGGGGGTAATTGCCTCAAAATATTAGGAATTAGGGGCCAAAAAAGGGGCAAAAAACAAGCATTTTTCTAGTTTCATGACAATAACTTGTGAATTAGTGTATGGATCTTTCTGAAATTGTACTACAAGTTTCATATCACAAAGGGAAAGCTGGAATTGAGTTTGGGGGTAATTGCCCAAAACGTTTAGGAATAAGGGGCCAAAAAGGGGCCAAAAATAAGCATTTTTGTAGTTTCCAGACAATAACTTGTGTTCAAGTGTAAGGATCTCTCTGAAATTGTACTGCAAGGTACCATACCACTAAGGGAAGGCTGGGATTGATTTTGGGGGTAATTTCCTCCAAATTTTAGGAATTAGGGGCAAAAAAGGGGCAAAAAACAAGCATTTTTCTAGTTTCATGACAATAACTTGTGTGTAAGTGTATGGATCTTTATGAAATTGTACTACAAGGTTCCATATCACAAAGGGAAAGCTGGAATTGAGTTTGGGGGTAATTGCCCAAAAAGTTTAGGAAAAAGGGGTAAAAAAGGAGCCAAAAATAAGCATTTTTCTAGTTTCCAGACAATAACTTGTGTTCAAGTGTATGGATCTCTCTGAAATTGTACTTCAAGGTACCATACCACAAAGGGAAGGCTGGGATTGATTTTGGGGGTAATTGCCTCAAAATCTTAGGAATAAGGGTGCAAAAGGCAAAAAAAAGCATTTTTCTAGTTTCAGGACAATAACTTGTGTGTAAGTGTATGGATCTTTATGAAATTGTACTACAAGGTTCCATATCACAAAGGGAAAGCTGGGTTTGAGTTTGGGGGTAATTGCACTAAACGTTTAGGAATTTGGGGCCAAAAAGAGGCAAAAAAACAAGCATTTTCTAGTTTCCAGACAATAACTTGTGTATAAGTGTATGGATCTCTCTGAAATTGTACTGCAAGGTACCATACCACAAAGGGAAGGCTGGGATTGAGTTTGGGGTGATGAATCATAAGAGGGTTCAAAAAATTTGGGGGGGGGATTTTTTTCCCCCTTTTTTTCCTTTTTTTTTCTTTAAAATTTTCCATTTTAAATCGTTTTTTTCTGATTTATATATGTAACACTCCCAAACGTGTCCTTCCCCCCAAACGTGTCCGATTCCCCCAAACGTGTCTATTCTCCCCAAACGTGTCCGTAATATTCAATATTCCCCAAACGTGTCCGATTTCATCACCCCCAAACGTGTCCGATAATTGTTATTCGCCAAAACGTGTCCATTATTACACGCCAGAACGTCTTACGTCTTTTACCGCTAATACATGCATGTCCCAAATCAATAACGTTTACGGCACTTCTATGATGGGGGACAAAGTTGATGAAGAGGGCATTTATTAGCATTAGTTTGTTCAATGCCAGTTGTTAATGATTAGCATAAAAAAAATATTGCAAATTCAATTTGTAACATATGAATTGACTTTTGACTGAAATTGATTATTGTCCAGTTGCAAGTATTTCATGCTCATTTAGAGCGAACATACATATAATTCTTGTACTGTTGAATTAATCGTTTAATATGTAAATTATTTTGTACTAGTAAACTCCGTTGATGCATTTTATATTACTCCAAATATTGCACTTTTTTTCAGCAGAATTGACTTCCTTTCTTTCAACAGTTCTGATATTTTAAAAGCTCTTAAAATCATAAACTGGGAATCAGGTTTTTCAATAAATTTTAGGTTTCGAACATCACTAAAGACACACGAACAAGAGACATAACGTCCAGTGCCAAATATTTAATGCATTATTTGAAAGATATCATGTTAGCAATAAAATACATTTGTCATTTCGGGGCCTTTTATAGCTGAATATGCGGTAAGGTTCTTTTATCATACCGGAAATTTAAAATAAGACCTAAATTCTAACGGTTATTCGGGATTAATACTAGTTGGGATTTTAATTTAAAAAATTCAAGAGCGAGTAAAAACGATTTTTTATGACTTCAGTAAGAAACGCGCAGACAATGGGACATTCTCCCTTCACGAGGTGTCTGATTTATTATCTCTACGTATTTATGATATTGACATGAATGATAATTCCAGTAAAAAAATATGGAAATATTTGGGGGATTGGACACGTTTGGGTGTTTTTTTTTAAATGGACACGTTTGGGCGTTTATACAAATGACAAGCTTTGGCGCTGTTTTTCAACTAGACATGTTTTGCAGTTCAGTGACGTCGATGTAGACACGTTTGGGGGAATCGGACACGTTTGGGGGGAAGGACACGTTTCTGAGTGTTACATATATAAAAGCAAATAATAATGATATGGTTTGAATAGGTAAATTAAAAATTTTTTAGTTCTTAGACCACATTCATTCTGTGTCAGAAACCTATGCTGTGTCAAATATTTAATCACAATCCAAATTCAGTGCTGTATCAAGCTTGAATGTTGTGTCCATACTTGCCCCAACTGTTCAGGGTTCGACCTCTGCGGTCGTATCAAGCTGAGCCCAGCGGAGCATTTTATTCATTTTATCAGATATTATAAGCATATGTCTACTTGTTGGTGTATGGAATGACTGCAAGGTGTCATATAAAAATAAGAAGATGTCTGTCTGCCAATTTTAATATAACTGTGACCTCATTTTCATAGAATATTGATAATATCAAGCAAAAATGATGAGCAAGACAAGATACAAATGATCCAAAATTGTCAGTTGCCTACTCATTATGTAATAGTAGTTATTGTCATTAAATGATAATGTTTACTCTTTTATGTGTAGGGCAAGAACATTAAAGATAAAGGGAAACTATAAACAAAAGAAATTTTCAACAAAAATAGATTTACAGACGTCAACAAAGCCTAAATGGTAAGTCCACTTCTATAAAAGTTATTGCCCTTGAATAATGATTATTTTGAAAATAAGATGTGGTATGATAAATGAGAAAACTATATCCACCAGAGTTCAATTAAGTGGATGTAAGCAATGCAATTACTTATTAGAGGCCAATGATGACCTGTAAATAATGACAGGCAAAATATGGCAGGGTTGATATAAAAATAAGAAGCGGTACGATTGCCAATGAGACTTTTCTCCAATAGAGATCAAATGACATTAAATTTAACTAAATTAGTTCACTGTACAGCCTTCGACAATGAGCAAACCCTATACTGCATAGTAATCCATAAAAGGCCATGAAATAACAAATGTAGAACAATTCAATAAGGGCATGGCGTCATTTAAAAAGGGCATGGTGTCTATCCATGCTAAACATGCTTGGGGAAACACCACAAAGGTGAAAGCTAAGTGCCTGATTTTTGCACAAAACAATAAACAAAAAACAAATATGATATATAGCAACAATTGACAACCACTGAATAATAGGCACCTGACTTAGGACAGACACTTACAAAATGTGGCATGGTTTAACATGTTTGCTGGCGCCAAATCCTCCTCTAATTAAGGACAGTGGTGTCAGTGTCAGTTCAATATAAAAACTATAAAATCAGTTGAAAAGGGTTTTTTTCTGCTCTTGGGTCAGGTTATTTTGATACATTCCCGTTTTCATTCTCAATTTTATTAACTCATTAGAATGCAACAAAGCAGAAAAACAGCTACCAAAAACACAGACCGGATGTGGCTGGAAATTTATTCTTTCCCTTTAACAAAAAAGACTCAACATACAGATCTATTAGTACTCACAGTTACTGACAGCTAATTCAAAGCAAATATCAACTAATAAAATAAACATTTAGTGAGCACCCAACCCACCCCTAACCTGGGACAGTGGTTTTAATAACAGCACAACATTTGAACAAACTGTAAACATTTGTTGCAATTGGCTTAACTCAAAAGACTGCAACAAGGCACAAAAAACAACTAATATGAAAACCATAGACACAAAGCACTGAAATAAGAGTTGTAAGAATTTTAAATATTCAAATGAAATTTTTATCAAAATGTACATAAACATGATAAAATAGTTATTTTATTGCTGTATTTCTCTTCATTTATAATTTTTGAGTTTTGTGTATTTGTAGGTCAGACATCTTGGTTTTCATGATCATCATTCAACAGGTCAATACTGAACAGCAAACTTAAAGTTGATATTTTTCTACATAGTGTGACTTTTTTATTAATTTGAAATGGAATGTGTTTTTTTTCCTACATAAGAAAGAGGAAATTTCAACATAATGACTATAAACAAAAAGGAGTCATATCATCATGATCATAGATGCTCAAGAACTTAATCATGTAAATGCAAGAACGTAATTATCAATTGAAAGAAGGGAGGAATGAAAAAATATATTAGTATTTTGTTGTCCAAATGAACTTGCTTTGTCCACTCATTTAAATCGCTCCTTCCAATAAAGATGTACTGAGGAAGATTTTTGAAGAACAGATTGCAAAAATGTTTTGTCTAAGAATTGTAGGAATATTCTAATGAATGAAATAATTTATTTACTTGACTCTTATATAGTGGACTGAATAATTGTTCATAGCAAGCTGAAACAAGAAAACTAAAACTTAACAGGAAAAGTGTTTATTTTATAAATTTACAAATATAAATGTCATATTATGAACACGTCAAAGGAATAAGATTCAAATCGTTTGCATATTCATGTATTGCAATGGAACTATAACAAAGAAAACTTTACCTCATGAAAAGAGTAAACTATTAACTGTGCTTTGTCAATTTATTCAGTCAGAATATGAAATATTTTTTTCAGTTCTATTTTTCATAATAAAACAAAGAAGACAAAGATTTCACATCAATATTTTTTTCTTTTATTAAGATGTCATCATTTTATTTCAGTTAAAGGATTCTATTTTTTTGACTTTAAATATTATTATATTTCCAAAATAATAATAATCTTTATTGTCATATAAACAAATTAAAAACATGTTTGTGACAAAATGAAAAAAAACAAAATACACTCATATATATATTATAAACTTTTTACTACCAAACAGAATTCATTGTAACATACACATTACTGTATATTTATAATTTGAATTCCATAGGATTTTATTTTGTCCCATGGGATATTAAAAATCCCATGGGATAATTATAGTCCCATGGGATTTTTTTTGTCCCATGGGACAACAAATATCCCATGGGACCCAAAAAAATCCCATGGGATTTAACCAAAATCCCATGGGATAATGGTCAATCCCATGGGATTTGCCTTATCCCATGGGATATTGAAAATCCCATGTTTTTCTAAATCAAATTACAAAATATGTATAATAAAAACAGCAGAAAAGCAATGAAATTATTGAATCCCATGTAATTCCGCACATTTTGGTTATTTACATGACACTGTAGGTCTAAGGAGAGGCGGCGGCGGATTTGCAAATGAGTGTTTTGCAAATTAAAAGTTAAAAATTATTAAATAGTGCATGTGAAAAATTAACAGTAATGTAGTTATTGGTTTAAATAGTTAATAGATTTACTGTTTCATGTAATATATACTGTACATGTATGTACAGAGCGATTCTGTATACAATATAAGTCTAGCGTTACTGATTTATAATTATTGTATTATTTATTATTCTCTTGCTTTTAATGGCATTTAGTCTTGCTATGTTTTATTTTTCTAGCAATATCTCATGTTTAGTTTTCTGTTTGCTGTAGAATTTTTTTCATACATCTGGACGTGGGTATTAGTTTTCATGGTGGGTACGACATTTCTGATTCAAATATAACAATTGAAACATTCAATTTATTTCCTTGTAAGGAGCAGGATTTACTTCACTGTTCCGGAACTTCTGAGTGTACACCCGGGTTTTGGTAGGAGTGCGTTGCTTCAGTTACAAATGTATGTATGTAACTTTTTTACGTTATTTTTCTTCTTCTGCTATGGTGTTATCAACATATCATTTCAAATTATACCATGACATTTGTTTATACCCCCACCATAAAGAAGGCCGGGGAGGGTATATAGTGATGCACTTGTTCGTCCGTCAATTAGTCAAAATGTTAGTTCCCGGATGTTAAAATTAGAATAGAATGTTATGGACCATGAAATGCAATATAAAAATAAGGAGATGTGGCATGATTGCTAATGAGACAACTATGCACTTAAGTTCAATTGAAATGTAGTTAGATTTTCACGGTTTTGGCATTATCTGTTCAAGAGTAATGACCATTAGTTATGTTTAAATCTGGGATTTGTTTTTGTTTCCATATGACAATTATGATAATTAAAGTGTGCTTCAAAACTTGTTTTAGGTGTTAATCTAATGTCATGAGCCATAAATTACAAGTCAAGTTGAATTTAAACGCCAATGTCATTTACCGTTCAAGGTGTAATACCACCAAATCATTGTACGTCACATCCGGTTGCATACGAAAAAGGGTAGAAAAAATATTCCCTTGAATTTCACAGTTTTAAGGAAATAATCCTACATTTCATTGCAGTAAAAAAATTGTAAGTTATAAACATATATATTGGGTGTTTCAAACATGTCAAAGCACAATTACTTTTTTATTTGGTGTTTCTATAGAATATTTTGGAAACTTGAGGTTAACTGGTTACTAAAGCTTGTACACAGGAAAAAAGAGGTGACAATTGTATTTGTTAACTTCCAGTGATGGTTATTTTATCGTATGCAATGACATGTTATGTGAAATTTTGTCTGTAGTACTGGATAGGATAAAACTTTACTCATTGCAAGTATTTCTTTATTTGAAACAAATATAAATTCTGCACAATGTTTTGAAAAGTGCAAATTTAACAAAGACTAATAGGGGAAAATCAATGGTAGTATTACACCTTATATGGGAAGTTGCACATGCACCTTTGACCTTGTGTGTACTCTCATTTGTTAAAATTTCATGCTATTTAAGTGAAATACTACAAAACTAAAATATTTTGAGTGGATTGAGTCTCAAAAACACATTTTATGAGAAAATTGCCCCGAAATAGGACTCTAGCATGAATATTAGTAGAAAGAGCAAGCCATACTGAAGTGATCTGGGGAGCTTTTTCGAACTTTTTCTCCTTATTTCTTATATTTTGCTATAATGGAAAACTTTTTCCTTAGTATTACTTTAATAAATATATAGCTATTAGTAAATGAAATAATTTTTTAAAGCTGTAACAACAAATTATTCACTAAAAAGGAAGCTTTTTATGTCCCTCTCTGGAACATGGCGTGAATTTAAGTTTTACGTAAGGATTTATTGAAACTTCCATTGAGTCAGTAAACTTTTATATTGATAGTTCATTCAGCTTGAATACTTCAATTACTCATTTATCATCATATTTCTTTCATAAATGAGAGAAACTTACCCCAAAATTTTTATTTATTGGCCTAAAAAGTTGAAATTTTGAGGAAATGAGAGGTATAAATGGACCAAAAGGGACCTTATTATGAAGACAAAGAGGTCCATTAGTGGTATTTATCATCCTAGAGTCATCTTTTCTATCATATTCTACTGTTTTTATGCAGATGAGATAAATATTTGATCATTTATTGGTCCAAACTATACTCTATCATGATGCGGCTTGATTTGGATTTTTCCAAGAATTTTGCTTAAATCGCTGAAGATGTTGTCTTACATTATACTAGATTTTTCTCAAACTATTGAACTGATTATGACAAAACTTGACAGTAATGCTTGAAATAACCAGTATTACAAAGGAAAAAAATCACATTCAGTTTATTCAACATAAAAGTCTTTACCTCTATAGAGGGCCTTTCTATATTATTTTGAAATTGAGATTTGTTTTTTGTGTCCGGATAATAACTTAAGTACCACTTGCCATGTCTTTTTAAAGATTTGAACAGATTGCCCTGATCCTTAAAATACAGATCAAGTTCGATTATGACGGTTTTGGCATTTAATATTCAAGAGTTATGACCCTTATCTGAAAAATTGGGATTTGTTGTTTTTGTGGGTGATAACTCTAGCACGCCATGACGGAAACCTCTGTTTTTATTAAATTCTAAATTAATATTTTCTATCATGAACCATAAACTACTTATTTTGATGAGTTTGACATTAACTGATATATATTTGTATAATATATATATATGTGTGTGTGTGTGTTCTTTTAAACAAAAAATAATAATTAATATTTATTTTGGTTTACTGTTAGGAGAAGGGTGTTAATTTCAGTTTGACTGGTGTCATTTGTAACTTCGTTGAGCTGAAAAGTTGTAAAAACTAATTTTCGACCTTTTTACTACAACAACGGAATTATTATGTTTCCCGATAGCATTTAGTGGTATTAAAGTGAATGAGCGTTTCAGTTTAAACTTTTTAGAACAAAGAATTTGCTTTATGACTTGTTACCATCCATTTGTGTTTATGTAAAAATTCACTTCGGTCTGTGTTTCTTGATCTTTTATAACAGCTATATCCATCCCATCATTTATACATTGATCACGTCCTTCTGTCCAGGTGAAGGAACCAAGTATGTAGGAGTAACTGCAAGATTGACCTGAAAATTCAAACAAAATAACTTCTTCCGGTTTGGATATTTTTGTATATTTTAACACACTAACTGCTTCTCAATGAAAACATGATTTTTATTCAATTTTAATTGGCATAGGGCATGGTTTCAATATGACAGCAACACAAACAGACAAACTCTGACAAGTGGTTTGAAGTGCTATGATCTACCTTAACATCAGTAAACAAATCTATCAACGAATCACCACCAGCATGGAATGCAAACAAAAAGAGAACTATAGGAAGGATAATATTCTGTTTTTGATATACTTTGTTGAAATTTTTTTCGAGGAAGTGCGGTTTGGGGTAAAAAACAAAACCAAGAAGCCAATCAAATATCAAAAACATTAAAGAAAAATTAATGAATGAAACTAAACAATCGTATGTTATTCTAACAAGACATAGAAACATTATATACAAGATACAAAACAAAGCCTAATCACATAATGGTTGACTTTGCTTTAATTTTTTATACTATTAATACTGGTTAGGATAAAAATGTTCTGAGTACATTTTTGACTTCCTAATAATGCTATACTTTCTGTACTTTTCTAGAAATTCAGTACATGCAGAAACGATACAAAAGTCCTTTTCTTAAAATACATTACTCTCTGACTATAGGTTCACATTAAGTAATGTCGACAAAGTAACAATAACATGTGGAAGTTAGCATTAATTTGATATACAATTAGATATTCGATCTTTTTTATATACATTTTTTCCACTTAATAATTTGAATCATCTCTAAAATATCTTTCCATTGGTATAGATAGTACACCCCCTTCTCCGGTACCGGTAAAAAAAAAACAATAAACATAATAATGTACATAGTTTATCATATCAACATATGCTAAATTTTAAAAGTAAAGTGGACTTTTCAAAGATTTTTATAAGTGTTGTAATGGTTTTTGGTATGGTTGAATACTTTCGAACGCTCTTAAAGGGATATTCAAACAGATCCAAAACTAATGACACATCAAACATGTTTGTCCAAAATCGGGAGCCTGTAATGAGTGGTTGTCGGTTATTGTTTTGTAGTTTGCTCTTGGTGTAATACCACCATTGATTTTCCCCTATTAGTCTTTGTCAAATTTGCACTTTTCAAAAAGTTGTGCAGAATTTAT